GAAACGAAGGAGACTCTATACCTCTACCTAGGGGTAACTCAGATGGCCGTTAGCTCGGTCTTGATGAGGGATGATGGGGTCCAGAGGCCCATTTATTATGTAAGCAAGGCCTTAAATGGGGCAGAAAGTAGGTATACTCCCACGGAGAAGGCAGGGTATGCACTATTCATAACGGCGAAGAAACTCACCTCCTACTTTCAGGCCCATCCTATTATCGTATTGACCGACCTACCATTGGGCACGGTCATGAGGGATTCCACTTCATCGGGAAGGATGATCAAATGGGCCATGATGCTTACCCAATTCAACATTGAATATCGTCCGAGAACGGCGATAAAAGGGCAGGCCGTGGCTGATTTTCTTGTAGAGATGACGGGTCACCAGCAAGAAGAACCGGCTAGGGCTATCACAGAGCCTTGGTGGTCCATGTCGGTAGATGGAGCCTCTGGACCGAAAGGTTACGGGGGAGGTGTAGTATTCACAATTCCGGAAGGGTTCAAGGTATATCATGCCTTGATCTTCAATTTCAAGCTCACAAACAACGAGGCTGAGTATGAGGCATTGATAGGGGGTCTGAGATTGGCCAAAACGCTACAAATCACATGCCTCAGGATCAAATCCGACTCAAGCTTGGTGGTAGGCCACATCAATGGCAACATGGAGGCCAAAGGAGAGAAGATGCAGAAGTACAGAGACTTGGCAAGGGCATTATTGAAGGATCTGATTGAGTACGTGATGGAGCAAATCCCTAGGGGGGAAAACACTGATGCTGACTTGCTATCAAAATTGACGCAAGCAGCCCCGGAGCATGTGTCCAAGCTGGCCAGGATTGAGACGCTAGAGAAAGCCAGCATTGAAGGGTTTTCTGTTAGCATGATAGAGGAAGATGAACAGCCCAATCCAGATCGAGTGGAGCCAGATGATATTTGGATGGATGACTTGGTCAGGTACTATATGACCGGGCAATTCCCTGAGGATGAAGATAGGGTAAGAAAAATAAAGTTGAGGGCTCCAAGGTTCCAAATGCTTGATGAAGGCTATATAAAAGAGCATTTGGCGGTCCGATGCTGAGATGCTTGACAAGAGCGGAAGCGGAAAGAGTGATCGCCGAAGTTCATGAGGGTGTCTGTGCAGCCCATCAAATGTCCAGGACACTCGCACAAAGGATCATGTTGCTAGGTTACTTCTGGCCTACAATGAACCAAGATTGTGAGAAGTATGTACAAAGGTGCAAAACTTGCCAGGTGTTCTACAAATTTCCGGGAAGGCCTGCAACATACTACCACCCAGTTTCTAATGTTATTCCATTCGCAAGGTTTGGGATGGACATCATTGGGGCCTTCCCTCAAGCTCAAGGGAGGAAGAAGTATGTCATGGTCGCTATCGACTACTTCACAAAATGGGTAGAAGCCGAGGCATGTGCAACCATCACAACCAAGCAGTGCCAGCGCTTCGTCTGGAAGAATATAATCACCAGGTTTGGGTCTCCTCGAAACATTGTGACGGATAACGGGCCTCAATTTCAGAATCCAGGGTTCACCAAATACTTGGAGGACTTCGGGATTACTCACAACAAGGCTTCCGTGGCCTACCCGCAAGGGAATGGTCAGGTGGAGAATGCGAACCGCACAATAGTCGATGGGATTAAAAAGCGGTTGGGTGAGGCAGGAACAAATTGGCTAGAGGAGTTGCCACATATCATCTGGGCTTACCG